GTAGCAAAATCACGGCTCAAGCGTATTCCTAAAGCAGTTAATTTGTTGCAGGATACTGCTAATAATGCTCCTTCAAAGGACCCAGACGACAGAGATAAAACTTGAAAGTCTATCAGACGGACCAAGACTACTAACGTATAAACTAGGACCCACGAAATTGACTACTCATTACCATACATTTTTACAGTACGTACGACTCGATGACATTGAAGGTAATATCCACTCCCTACAGAATCAACTACTGACTTTCCAAAACCAACTGACTAACGATACTTATTTACTATACGAAATCCAAATAGATTATCTGTCTAACAAACTTGGTAAGGTGTTAAGTCATCTCAGAACCCTAGAGCCAATAGAGCTAAAAGAGGTCTTATATGTAGTCTTGGTTCAGTCATAAAAAGCATAACTGGTAACTTAGATTATACAGACGCGTTAAGATATAACGAGGCAATTAAAACCCTTAAGGATAATCAACTGAGCGTTGCATCCGAATTCGATCAACATCTCAGCTTAAGTAAAGAATGGATGTCTAAGCATAGTAATGTAATTATTGAGATAGCGGAAAATTAATGAGACTTTGATACTTATATTAAATAGTAATGCATATAGGCAAACTAGTTTAATTAAATACACTAAATTCGCGCAATTGTTAGAAATAATTAGTGATAATGTAGAGGACTTAATGCTAGAATTAATTAGAACTGAAAACACTTTAGCTTTTATTCGTGCATCTAGCACGCACCATTCTATGATAGATATAGATGTATTAGATTCCATGTTAGGTAAGCTTAGAAGTATTTACAGCTCAGATCAGATATTAAATTTAGAACTCAGAGACTATTATGACGTAATAAAACCCGGCTCATATTACACGGTGAAACAAATCGTGTTCATCTATAAATTTCCTATAACTTCTAGAGATAATTTTGATTTGTATAGATTATCCATTGTCCCAAATAAAAATTCACAGGCCCTTATCCCAACCTATCCCTTCATAGCAACTAACGAGTTATCATTCGTGAACTGAGACAGAATGTCCGAAGTTTAACCACTGGTATCTCTGTGAAGAACGCACTACCTATCAGATTCGAACACAACCCGATTGCATCCAAGAGTTGATCACCAAGCAAGTCATACAAGAAGCCTGCAATCTTACTACTATCATCCTGTCAAAAGAAGCGATGGAGAAACTAGATGACCAGCATTATATCCTGTCCTTTCCACACTATACCAAGGTACAATTGTCTTGCGGAAGAAAAGAATTCACCATGCTACAAGGGAGTTATCTCATTACGACTCCAGCCAGCTGTCTTCTTAAAACTGCCGAGTTCACCATCGTCAACGACAATAATGAGATAAAAGGTCAACCTCTAAAGCTCGCTGGACTACCTTTCAGATCTCCGGAACAAGCTACAGCATCTACCCGCATCCACCTAAACTCAATCCATCTCCAAGGATTACACAGCATCCAAGACAAAATTCTCATGCAATCACCAGTACAACTACGTGCCATAAGTGACACATTATATCATACGACAATTCCCTTTTATATCATATTATCGAGTGGAGGTATCCTTATCTTTGTACTGGCCACCCGTCGCTACATATCAAGATGCAGAAAAGAAACGAGCAAAGCAGCGCAATCACCAACACCTAATTCAGAAGATCATGGAAACTCCGAAATTCCGGCAACATTTTCCCTGAACATACTCAAATAGTTGCCGTTCTGAGGGTGGAGGAGTTACATATACCTTATGATATGAAGATCGCTGACTACCACACCTAGAACAGTTGCTATGTAAACCGACAGGAATGCAGGCGCAGCAATTCAAGCCACGTGCCGGATGTATAAACTATCACGTACTCATTTACACAGAGCTCATTGTGTTAGATTAATTAGCTATAGTAACATAATTTGTAATTTTATTTTAAATATATTTTATAAGTAAATTTGGTTTTTTTTTCGAACCTCCGGCCGCAGCTAACGTAATTAGTTCAATTGGCATATCTCATCTTTTCTTTGTTTATTTTGACAATTTAGGATTTCTGTTTTTTGCTGAATATCTTCTTTTAACGATATAATGGCTTTATTAATTTTTGAGTGTATCGTACCTTGCAACTCATTTATTAGTGATCTATTATTTTCTTTTAACTTTTGTTGTATTATTGCACTTAGAGTTTGCAGTAAGTTTTCATCAGATTTTGCACTTGGGTTTGTGGAGGTCTAAGTAATAACAGTATCACCTAATAGGTCAATATCGTCCGAGTCGCTAGTGTCATTATGCGGATTATTTGGGATTCCTCTTAATGTAATGCTGTCTTTATCAATTTGGGATATAACAACTACAGGAGATTTTTCACGAGGGCGTATTGGCGTGTTTGTGTTATTTTTCTTTGGTTGCTTACAGTAGCAAGCTTGACATTTCCATGCGGCCTTTCTTTCTACTGACATTATGTTATAAAACCGTTGTGGGGTTACATTTGCGCAGTCTAAATCGTATGTCTTGTGGCAGTATTTACAGGTGAGCTGTTCCCGTTTATGTAGCGTTTGATTACAACCAGCACAGTTAGTCGACATAATTGCAAAGTATTTCTTCCTAAATAATTCTTATGCCGCCCTCTTGTGGTGTGTGTCGGATATGGAAAGTAATTAGCAGATTTTGGTGTCCTGCTTTTTGTTCGATGTGTAATGTTGAGTTGTCGGATTAATCTAGTAGATGGCGCAATAGGTTATAAGTAACTAGTAATCGATTGTCAACTTGTAACAGTGGGCTTTTGGTGTTACGTGGTTCAAGTAAGTTTCAATAGATGGCGATAGTAGCTTCAAATCTGGCCTATCGGTAACAAAACGCTGAGAGTTCAAAGTCCAATTTATTAGAACATATGTGGCGGTTAAGAAGATAACTGGATTTAAAAATGTTCACATTAAAGTATAAAAGTTTCACAATTATTATAGAGCAGTTTTCTTTTTTCCCTTATAACTCTCTAAATTAATGAAGTTTGTTTGATAGTTTTAATAGTTTATTATTACTTAATAGTTTTCAGATTACTAATAACTGCACTCGGTATTTCACCGTATCTAGTTCACTTTGAGTTTAGATAACACTATAAGTTGGATAAAAACACTTGCATTTTATCACAATCATGTTTCAATGTAGAAATATTTGGATTTACTATTTTTAAAGTTAATTATTCACGGAACTCAATGTTTTCGTGTAAGAAGTAGGCATATGTATATGCTGGGGTGCAACGATAAGCTCTAAATTTTTACGTTCTTTTTTAGTTTATCATAGAACATGCTTGAGCTACCAATTGGTCAAGAAGTACTTTAACCAGTAATATTAAAATCCGCTACAAATTTCATATAAGTATAGCTTGTTAAGCAGTGGCTTATCATAAAAGTGGATAATATACTACACCACCATAGAGCCAAAAATACCACTCCTAAACAGAAAGCAGAGAAAATCTAGTCTCGTCTCATTAAACCTTCGTTCCATACCGTTCCGCGGTCTTAAAAAACCCTTATACCATATTTTCTTTCTATACTATTATAGAAATGTGTGTCCGCTACAAAATTCCTCAATTTGAACCAATTAGAATGCATATTTAGGAGATCTAATGGACCTCAGTACTAGAATGTTTTTCATATCATACGAAGGATGAGCAATGATCAAACTTTTTATATCGATAGCTACCATTGTTCCCATTAGCCAATTTATAGAGGATACAAAGATCAAACAACCACCTACGCTTTCCGACAGTCATCATATATTGAAATTTAGCAATCTGCCAGTCTGTCATTATAGCCTAGAATTCTATGCCTGAGTACATGTTCGGCACCCAGATATTTAATATATCTACCTTTCATTTATTCTGATCTGAGGCAATGCTATGATCTTGACTAAGATCATAGCATTGCCTCAGGCACAAACTCTGCCAAAAATATATTATAGGAGTACATGAAAAGTATTTTACTTAAAAATAAACCTCCACTCTGTCAGAGATCAAAAATCCGAACGGAACAGCCACTTAATCCGGACTCTGGATTAAAAAAGTAAGTTACTAAGGAAGTTTTAAAATGATAATTTTTATTGTATGTTAATGCAGGTTTTTTGATCCTATATTGTGAAATTTTCCGAAATACTAATAAAATAACAAAGTTTAATGTATTAGTCTTCTTTTGGCCAAAACAAAATTGCGCCATAACGAGCTCTCTCGAGCTAGTGCAGTACGGAGTGAAGCTGGAAACGCGGAAACGAAGGCGGATTCGTTTTTCTGACCGACAGCGTTACTGGTAAAATACAAAAATCCTAAAAAGAGCTGGACAGGTCGGACATCTAATTTGGTCGGACCCACATTCAAATAGTCTAAATATATCCGTCTTTATCTGGACGCCTAGCAAGTTTAAACCCACTTGACCAGATTAGCGTCACGGCAAATGTTTCTATTTTTTTTTAACTTATGACAAAAATAATTAAATTCTACCTGATGATAAATGTCTACTGCAACCTATGAGCTCTAACAAAGAAGGCTTCAGTGTATCTAAAAGACTAGCATCTTTGTCACCGCTGAGGACTAATATGGAATACTTCACAAAAGAAAAACAACAACCAAACCGATAACCTAGATAGATAGATATATAATAGATAGAAATATAATTGAAAATGTCGCCATTGAAGAATACGCTTGGAAAATTATTGAAATTAAAAAAACATCTACCGTCAAAATGTAATTGGAAACCTCGCCATTGCAGAATCCGCTTGCAAAATTAATAAATTTCTACCGTTGAAATATAATTAAAAATTTCGCCGTTGCAGAATACGCTTGGGAAATTATTAAAGTTAATTAATTTCTTTCAAAAGAAATGACAATCTTATCATCATTTCATTTAACGTCCATTTCTAGAACAAATTATAAGTGAAAATGCTATAGTCAGTTGGAAGGCTTTAAAATACTTAATAAACTATAAGCTCTAAAACCGATTTATAAAAAAATACTTACAGACACTCCTTAAAATCTTCTTCTCGCAAGGATCTACGTGTCCAAGACTTCTTTACAGGTACATCTCTAAAACTGTTGTAGATTGGTCCTTTGAATTTATAATCGAAATCGAATAATTTCGATTCAGATATATTTTGATCCCTAGACTCCTTGGAATGATCAATATTAGCACATACATTTTCATCATTTTCTATATCATTACCGGAATTAAAAAATAAATCCTCTACTGTTTCAGAATTTGCCGCATTAACATCTATATCTAATGTTGGTAATGTTACACTATCTGTTTTATGAGCATCAATTGCTTTACGTTTTATAGTATCTTTATTCGTTATATTAATTATTTGAAATATATTGTTATGTTCATTTGCAGTGCAATGACTATTTAAATTAGTTTCCCTCTTAAGTTCTTCCGATGATTCAAATCCATAGTTCACATAAATATGATCCGTTCCCATTCTGTATCTGAAAATTAAATTCGTTCACACATTATCAATCAGTAATGTTTCATGCAACGCGTGGGGGTTTTGCCATCACTTTACTCTATAAGAGAAAACTCTCAACTTGAGAGGATTTGTTTTAATCCTCACATGAATGATCAACCTAAAGGTAAAGTAAGCAACTATCTACGAGTTCCCGTTGCTTCCTGGCTCCGCAGTCTTCAAAAAAACATTTTACGTTAGTAGGAATTGGTAAGTTAATAATAATACTTAATAAATAATAAAAAAAAGCGACAGTAGCCTAATGGCAGAGCTCAGACCGCGAACTCAAAAGGTCGTGGGTTCGAATCCGCCATTCGACTACTGTCGTGAACCACTCCTAACACAAGCGTTTTAAGCTCATCAGGAGTGGTTAAAGGAATATTAGTAATGTTAATTAATAGGATTACTAATATTTTATAAAAAAAATAGCTAAGAGTGAGACAAGCCCGGAACTCGCTTTATCGAAACAAGAAATGCTTAAATAAAAGTTATGTATTAGGACTCGCTTAGTTGCCCCTACATGACTAAATCCAACGCTGAGTATACTCGTCATCAAAACGTGATAATACTTGAGATAGTATTATTGTACTTTGTCTGTCAGACACATGACTTACTACCACAATTCACACAAGATCTTATGAAGCCATTAATTATCTTACGCCGTCGTACAATACATATAATTAAACAATAATTCCAAAATTGTCGCTATGCGGGTTTCTTCGAGCTATAATATTAATAATAATAATTAATAATAATAATTAATAATAATAATAATAATTTCCCTTTATTAATAATAATAATTTCCCTTTATTAATAACAATAATTTCCCTTTCCTCCTAATCCTCGGGAGTTTGGTCTCCCCTGCCGAGGGTTTTCATCTGGTTGGACCTTTATTTATTTATGTAATTTTTGTATTTATTTTATTTTATTGATATTTTTGAATATTTATCTTTTCATTTTAATTTATAATTATATATTTATAGAACCCAACCAGATGAGGAAACTATATAGATACCCCAAATAATAATAAATTTATTCACAAGAAATATGGCACAAAGACTTTCTTATTAAATAATAATGTATCACATATTTCACCAATTTTGGTATATGAAAACTTATGGTTAGAATATACAAATATTTACGTAAAATTGAACGTGCATCAGTTTACAATTTTGATATTAATCCTTTAAAACACGATCAAATAAGAAACAGCGTTTAACAGTCAATAGAAACGTTCTTTTATTTTTAGCAGTTCATGAGATGATGAGGTGCGGGTGGAAGTTGAATCAAAGAGGAAAGCATGGTTAGATTTACTAGCAACTAAAACTGGTAATTCTGGTGGTATGAATGATGAGATTGAAAGAAAAAAGGCAGAATTTAGACGTCTAAATAAGAGAGTAAAAGAAGTAGTTGAAAGGAAAAAGAAAGAAAGAACGGATAAGAATGATCGAAGGATATCTGATAATTTCCAGGCTAATATAAAAATGTTCTGGAAATTCGTAAGAACTGCCAGGGGAAATACAAAACAGCCTATAATTAATGCTACAAGAGACGAGAATGGATGTATTCTGAATGATGAAGTTTCGAATTTAAACAGATGGAAGGAATACTTTGAAAGCGTGTTTATGAGTGAAGAGTCGTCTGAATTAAATGAACAAGAAATTCCGAAAGAAGTGGAAAGGGGTATGGAGATAAGTGTAGATGAAATAATGAAAGCAATGAAAAGCATGAAAGCAGGTAAGGCAGCTGGATATGATAGAGTATCACTCGAGATGCTAAGGGCTGGAGAGGGAGTGGTGGCAGGCCTACTTGTTTATTTGTTTACACATTGTTTAATTTATGTTGGGAATTAAAACGGGTACCGGATGACTGGTGTAAAGCACTTATAGTACCAATATATAAAGGAAAAGGGTCACAGCAGGACTGCAAAAACTACCGTGGTATCAGCTTGCTTAGTATTGTGGGTAAACTGTATGCTAAGGTGTTAATTGAAAGAGTTATGAAAGAAACTGATGGAAAAATTTGGGATGTGCAAGCGGGTTTTAGGAAGGGAATGGAGTATACAGATCAAGTCTTTTCCATGCGCATGATTGCGGAGAAGTTTTTGGCTAAAATCCAGAAGGTTTTTTGTGCGTTCATGACTTGGAAAAGGCTTATGACAGAGTGGACAGGAATGTGTTATGGCAAACACTGAACTCATATGGGTTGAGCGCTGGTTTGATACAGGCATTGAGGTCTCTTTATAGGGATTCTAGTGCTTGTGTCAGGATCAATGGGGTCTACACGTACTGGTTTGGCATCCGAAAGGGTGTCAGACAGGGCTGTGTGGCTTCCCCTTGGCTGTTCAACCTATTTATGGACAGGTGTTTGCAAACTTTGAAAGATGAAGAATGTGGGTTAAGAATGGGCGAGTTAACCGTCAAATGCCTTTTGTATGCCGATGATCAAGTCATATTTGCGTCATCGGCGGCTGAGTTGCAAATGATGGTTACATTAATGAACTGGATATTAAAAGAAGGGGGAATGAAAGTGAACGCAAGTAAGACGAAAGTGATGGTTTTTGAAAGAGAGGAAAGCAAAACGGTATGTGAAATAAGAATAGAAGGAGAGTTAATTGAGCAAGTGGATGAGTTTGTGTATTTAGGATGTGTATTTAGCAGGGATGTTAGATATGATAAGGATATAGAACGACGATTAAATGCAGGGAATAGAGTGAATGGGGCACTACACTCTATTGTGAAGAACCAGAATGTATAAAAAAAGGCACGTATGGTAATTCATAATGCTGTGTTAGTCCCTACTTTAATGTATGGTAGTGAAAGCTGGGTGTGGCAGAAGAAGCACGAAAGTAGAATAAATGCTGTAGAAATGCGGTCTTTAAGGAGTATGCTAGGGTTGAATCTAATTGACAGGATGAGAAATTGCATGATAAGAGATAAATGTGGTATGCAGAATGATGTTGTGACCAGGATTAAGAAAGGAATGCTTCGGTGGTTTGGTCATGTAGAAAGAATGAATGAGGAAAGAGTGACAAAACAAATTTATATGGCAGATGTGAACGGCAGAGTCGGGAAGGGACGCCCTAGAAAAAAGTTTATCGACCAAATTGGCGATATTTTGAAAACGAGAAACGTTAAAAATACTCTTAACCGACGAGCATGTATGCGTAGATATATGGATGTAAAGGAAGCGAAAGAGGTATGTCAGGATCGCGTCAAATGGAAGTCCGTGGTCTCTGCCTACCCCTCTGGGTGACAGGCGTGAGTGTTTATGCTATGCTTATATGCTTATGCTTATGCTATGCAGTTCATTTACCGAATAAAATTGTTTTCCCACAAGCCACTTTAATACATTACGTCTAAATCAATTATAATCTAGTTGTCTTATTTCATTTGGGATTTTATTAAACACTTGAATAGCCATCACACAACAATTTTTTTGGTTGACGAAACAGGGGATCTAAGCCTTGAAATACGATGCAGAATAGAGCAGGCACGCAACGCCTTTTCGAGAATGAAAAAAGTTTTTTGTGACCGGAACCTAAGTATTTCTCTTCGGACACGCATAGCGCGGTGCTATGTCTTTTCTGTACTTCTCTATGGTGTAGAAGCTTGGATGCTGACAGAAGCCATGTCTAAAAAACTAGAAGCGTATGAGATGTGGGTGTACAGACGTATGCTAAGAATTTCTTGGAAAGACCGCGTACGAAACACCATCGTGCTACAAAGAGTGGGGAGGGTCACAGAGATACTTACAACCACAAAGAGGAGGAAATTGGAATATTAGGCCTGGCCACAGAACTTGCGCCAGTGGTTGGGGAAGAGCACAAGATCACTATTTAGAGCCGCGGTCTCAAAATTTGAAATCGCCCTAATGATTGCCAAGCTTCGTAAGGAGACGGCTTCTTAAGAAGAGAAGAACAATTTTTTGAGTACAGGCTAGTTTGTGAAGGCAAAACAATTTTATCTGGGTACCTGGTACTATATTTTACTGTATCTTTTAGTTTGTACGCTAACTTAAAATATAGCATAAATATACCCTCACACCTGTCACCCACAGGATAAGTAGGGATTTCGGATTTCCATTTATCATACATATATCATTCTCATCTGATAAGAGTACTTTTTATTTGGTTACTTTCATCTTGGACATTGAGTTATACTACACTAGAGGAGCAAACTACGAGTACATTACCGCGCGTCGAAAAAAGTGTAACCACTATCCAAACGCGAAGACGTAGCTTTGAAACTAATAACAATTTTAAATAAACATATATCTATCTCACTTACACAAGTTGCGAAAACAATATCGTCGCTAAGATTAGATAAAGATAGACACACAAACATGCAATGGCGGGTTGGTGTGGCTTACTATATGAAATTTTACCTAAAATACGCAATAAAAATGAGTTTTTTTAAGCTGCAGTTAAGTGTTTTTATATTTAAAAAGTATATTAGTAATTCATGAATAAATTATAATAAGAATAATTAATTATTTTGTATGAAAGTTAAAAGGTAGTTTTATAATTTCCAAAATATTTAAAATCAGAGGTAACAAATTAACTTACACCATTAATTATATAGTCTCCCATTAATGTAGGATAATCACAAATGCAAATCAAAAAAATCAAAAGTGGCAACATTGAACCTACACGGCAATAATCGATAATTTTATTTAATTATTTGAAGTTTTTTACGTTTATATGAAAACAAGAACTAAAAATTATGTGTCGAAAGTGATTTCGCTTGATTTATTACGTTTTTGTGACCTTGAATAGCATTCTTTCACTACGCATTTACCCATTTTTTGTCGCGGCTGAACGGCGTCAATTGAACACTGAATTGACGTTAGCTAGGAATATGGCTGTGGCCATATGTGCAGTGGCAACGCTTTGGCGCGGTAATTACTGATCTAGTGTAATATATAAATCAATGGTCTTGGATGACCCTTGCCGACTCTGCCACTCCTTCTGCAGC